TGCAAGATTGCAGGTGTTGAGCTTCCACCCTGAACAACTTTCCGGATGCCAACAAGTTCTAACACCACTAACGTTAGCTTAACAATCTAGATGGAGTTTTGGAGATGGTGATAAACCTCTTATGGAACTGGACTAAATTTTAACAAAACGTCCAACGTCTTGAAGAACACACTAAAATTAACAGCTTTGGATCCACACTTGTTGAATAACCAACCTAGAAGTCTGAAGAAGTGCAGACTGTAGCCTCCGTGTGGGGGTTGGATGTTGTATTTTTTTTAAAAGCCACAACAAAGCGATGAAACAGCAAAGCAAAGCTTTACAAAGGGTGCCACGCAGTCCAGCTACCACACGGCTGTAGAGCCGAACACTAACTAAAGTTCTGATTGACGCGGTCAATTTAACTGGCCAGTAGCCTGCATGGAGCGCTTGAAGTCCAACCTTTAGCCAGCTTATCTTAAGTGCTTACTTTGTGTTCTGCCGGTGGGCGCTTAGCTAAGAAGAAGTTTGGTTTGGGTTCTTTGGATTGACTGGGTTGCTGCTTGGAGTGTTACGCGGAATTCTTAAGAGTTTGTAAAAGCAGCAATCAGAAGGCAGAGCATCCATGCCAGTGGGAAGCTTCTATCCTGCGGTTCTGCAATGCCATTCCAAGAAATGTGTTGTCATCTTCCAAGCAATTGGCTTGTAACAGAGCAATCTTCTGTAAAAGGTGGTTGTCGAGGGCCAAGAAGCTGGAGAGCCAAGAGACATTTTTAAGAGCATCTTTGGCGCCACATGTTGCCAGCATTTTGGCACCCAAACGTTTGCTCTGTTGTTTAAGAAACTCCTTTCGGCTTATAAGTATCGGATCTAGAAGTTTTCGATAAGAACACGCAACGGTACTCGTGGCAATGCGTCTTGGACAGCTCTGGGCGGACGGCCCACGGTTGTTGTGGATCGGTCGCAAGGCATCGTAGCTTGTGCTAAACGGCTAACACCGGCAAAGTCTGTGCGCCGCAGCTAGTTGTCGACCTTTGTTGATTAACCGCCTTGTTTCACCGCTGTTTTCGTTTGTTTCTTGGTTTGTCTTTGTAGGGACCGAGTGCTACAGCTGTAGTCGACGAGGCCCGCTCACGCCAAAAAAAAAAGGTACTCGTGGCAATGCGCTTATGTGCGGTGCTGGTCCGTGAGCTCTGCATTACTCAGACCCACAAACGTTTGGAAGTTGAACAGCAGCCGACAAACACTTTCAAACAACGTCACTTTTGAAAAGACTCAGAAAAGAAGCCGTTGTTGCGACATTGCTTTTGATTGACATTGCAAACGCGGTTCCATGGAACCCAGTTTGAGTCGCAGCGTGAGCTGCCCCAAACAGCACATGGGCACAGAATCTCTACAGACAATTGCAACAAGTTTTTCCTCACGCTATTTGAAAGGACATTGCATGTGTTGGCAGAAGTTGTGTTTTTTTGTGTGCGTTTGCAAAAGACGTTTTGTTGTACTCTGGTACACAATCTCTTTTGGCCCTTATCCTTTGATGTCTTGCCTGCTGTCACTGTGCAAGAATCAGAGTGCCTGCCCTTGCGAGACCCACGCTTTGGGAAGCTGGGCTTGCTTAGAGGCTTAGAGTTTGAAGGTACTCATGCATTGTCACCGCGGCACACTCTGCACTCGGATGGACGCGTGGGCGCGCTTTTTTCCATCCCACCAGCCTTTCCATTTTGCTCTTGCGAGACCCTCCTGGACGGGTGTGTCTTACTCTTCGTCTCTTTTGGATGCTGGGCAATTTGTGTGCCATTGCGCGACTCAGCTCGACTGAGAAGCGGGGCATCTGAGCGGTGATAGTTGCTCGAGGCCTGACATGTCCTGCCGAACGACGTCTGCCGGCTAAGTCTGCAAGTCGCGGCGTGTTTCACTTTTTTGCGTAGTTCTCTCTTTTGTACAGCTGCTTCAGTTATAGATCTTTTTGTGTTTCTTGTTGTTCTTACTGGGACCGAGTGCAGCAACTGCTGTCTTTGAGGCCCGCCCACGCCCCCAAAAACACAACCTCTTAGCACCAGGTGGTTTCCAAACCATTCAAAGGGATTTGTTTTTGGTGTTGTTTCTTTTTTCAAGACCTGCGTTTGAGTGCACACAGAAACACAAAGATCGCAAAGGCCAGTTCAGAGGTTGCGCAGAGGCCGAGGCAGTGTATTTTCACATAGTGTCACACATTAATTATCATGTCATGCTCAATGATTCAAAGAGCAAGTCATCGTGGTATGATTGATTTTTATGAGATCATCAGAACCAAAATCACACTCAGAGTCAGTCAGAACCATTGTCATTGTCGGTCAGTGATAGTGTCAGATCAAGTGGCCATCATCGCATCATCATTTTCACGATCATTGAGTCATCATTGTCTGCCAGCTTCTCTAGCTCTGATGCTCTGAGCGACTCCGACTCTAGACTCAGATTCGAACAGTCACAAAAAATTCAGGATCAACGGTTTCAGCAAATTTTCTTCGGCTCAAGACGCTGACTCGCTGTAGCCCGACATGTCATGGCTCGCTGCCCAATCCATGTTTCGAAGACACAGCACAACTTCATTCAAAGGAGATCTTGCAACTGGATGCGTTGAGGCCTATTAACACTTCGAGTGGAAGCGAAGCAGTCAGCACCTCAAGACAGGAGTGTTTTCGCGTACTTGCCACGTACCAATGAGAAGTTTATGCAGTTGCTAGGATTGCCTTTGCAGAGTTCTTCTGCAGCTGATGCTACATGTTGTTTGCGAGCTTGAGGCTTCCGCAACACACGGTTAAACGGTCAGCAATTGTGCCTGAGCCCTCAGGAAACGGACGAAATGTGAGTGCTGACTGGTCTGCTGAGGCACCGGAGTGCAGCGTTTCGATGGCAAGACGCGCGCAAACTGACGACCTTCGCAGTAGTTGTGCTGTTTTTGGAGAGGAGTTGCACAGCTTTGTCCTGCCAGGAAAGAGAGAAGCTGTTGCTCGCCGCTGCGCATCAGCAAAAACTTTGTCATACGCTCCACAGGCCTCTTGTGCCCAATCCCATGTAGCGGTCCCGCGCGTGAACTGTTGCAGGTCGCTTCAGCAATGCCAGGGATGCATCGCACTGACGGTGCGAGCCAGGCACCGCACGATTGTGGGATGGGACGAAGTGGACGATGCGAATTGTGCTGAGGAGTTGAAGGATTTCGCTTGTTTATGAGTTTGGTTTTCGTTCCCTTCTCCCCCCTCGTCTTGGAGGTCCAATGTTGGCCGCGCCGACGCTCGACGTGAACGATGGCGAACCGCGATTTCAGTTCTTGTCTCGGACTTTCGTTGAGTCATGGATTGTACTTCGTTAGGGCTTTTTCTCGACTTTAGGTACCCCGAATGGTGGATGATGGAGCACACCAACGAGGCCAGAACGTCACCAGGAATAACCTTCAATTTAATCTTGCGAGCAGGTCTACAATCGCGAAGAAAAGCTACTGGCCGACGTTGCTGAAGGCTCGTCCGTTTATTTTTTCATATAATCGACCTTCGTTTTCAGTTAGCCTGCTAGGCGACCACATTTACGCGGTGTATCGGAAGGCAGGGTAAGAAGTAATACTGCGTTGCAGAATCTTTACTTGTTCGAGGTCTTGGACTGGCCCACCACTTCCTCCGATACCTTCGTGGTCGCGGTTCAGCTCGTCATCGAGTTTCGGCTCAGGCCAAACATGCGTGATTCTTGCTTTTTCTTTCTTAACTTACCCACTCGCGACTTGCAATTCGACTCGTTCGCGGAGATCGTCGACATGCCGGAGCAAGGGCCTTAGCGCCAAGAATTTTCCTTCGCTCATGTTCTCGTGCCAGGTTCGCTTCACGAAAGGCGGGTGCAGCCACTTCATCTTAAAGCGGATGTGCAAACCCACAATCGTACGACGTCCGATCCTTAGAGTCTTCACTTGAGCCATGAAACTTACAAACGATCACAGCTTCAGGATGGCGATGGCTCGAACACCCAGCGCGGCTTCACATGAAAAATGGCCAAAAGGTTCATCACAGGCACAGGCACCGTGTCTTTTTAAGTTTTAACCCGGATGTAACTTTTGTGCTTTAACCCGGATGTAACTTTTGTGCTGTGGTGTGAGGGCCAGATATACTTCCTTGCTGTCCGTGGACACCGTGCAGCAAAAGCTAGACATGCCGTGAGGGTCCAGGTGCAGAAGGCTTGCCAATGGAGGTTCTTCGTTCTTTAAGCATATATGAGGCTTACATGTCAGCACAGCGTGCCGTGTGCGTGCTCCTTGGCCCAGTTCGCGAACCGGGGCATCCTGTCCAAGCACAGGGTAGGTTAGGTCGCTGGTTTACTTGCAAGAGCTTAATGCAGCTTCAGGAAAATGCGCGCAGCTCGGAGTTTGCGTTTGCTTGAGTCCATCGTAACAGAGTGTGCGGGAAAGATGAGGTGTGTTGGGAGTGTTGGGTGGATTTTTTGCAGATCCCACATCAACACATATCAACACCACGAGCTGCTGTTGCAGCGACTTTTTTTGCACGGAGTGTACCCGTTTCTGCAAAACCCGCAACAATTGCTGGGCCATCTTGGAGTTAATGGTGGGGTAGCGATGCGTCGACGAATGGACTGGCAACAGGCCGCTACCGGGACCGTGCCTTCGATGCCATTCATGGCGACAGGTCCGGCGTGAAGCAAGTTATGGTTTCACGTTGGAGGTGCCGTCATCGATAGACGTCCCGGCATGGCCTATGGGCTCGGCCGCAATGGTAGCGGTAGCAGCAAACTCAACAAGTCGTGATGCAACAGTGGTCGCCCGCCCTAACAGAACATACGGTGCATGCTGGTGAAGAGTAACCCTACGTTCCGTCGGAAAGCTGCGCAGCCGGCTTCCTTCAAGATCAGTGATGCAATCCCGCACGCGAGAGAAACATCCGTGTTTTTTTGTGCGTTTGTGATTGTTTTACTTAGACGGGCCGGTCGTTTAGTAAATGGTTAGATAGATTATGAAAAATATTATCCAATTAATGCATGATTATGTCATGTCGTTTATTGTAACCAAGTCAAAATCATGCTGGGCTCTGCTTGCAAAGTTCAACTTATTGTGTAGGCTGTTGTCTTCAAGCTGTTTCTGTAGATGCAGCCAAGCACTGAAGTTGCAGCATGCAGCGCCGGGTGTTAATATTTTTGCTCACCAGCTGCGCTTATTGTACATACTCTCGGGGTGTTCATGTTTCCCAAGTCTGTCAGCTTCCCAGCATTGAACGTTCACGATGTTGCATGTTCGCGGTGCTGTGAAGAATCGTGAGAAGATGGAGAAGGACACCAATTTCAATGTTCTTGACGTACGTACTTCATGTGAACATCAACTTCTAAGGATGAGCCGTGCAGAGTCACAAACTTTGCGGAGCAGGCCAACCCGGAAAATCAATGGAAAGAAGCTGTGTTGTCAAGCTTTCGGTTCACGCTCTGACTCTGACGAAAGCGCTTCAGAGTTGTGTATAATGTTGAATGATCAATGTGTGTAGTGTTTCTCGGTGCTTGAGCGGGTTGAGTGAGTCGGTGCATCTGAGAGTGAGTGAGTGGGCCAGGGACTCAGAGAACGAGTGATACGTGAGTCAATGGCAAAACGAAGCTCAGTGAGTAAGTTGGGGAACGTGTGAGTGAGTAAGTGAGTGGGTGAGGAGTGCGTGAATGAGTGAGTGGCTGAACGTGTGAGTGAGTCAATGAGGCAGTCAGTGAGTGGGCGAGCAATCCACGTTGACCAGACGGCGCATTGTTCTGTTCATCCAGAGGGTGCCAGGACTATCGGCGAGAAGTGGAGAACAGAAATCCAAAGATACAAACAACCCTTAGAGCGCAAGCTCGATGACAAGCACAACTGCCAAGTCGAGATCGGGAAGAGAGGTCCCATCCGAGCCAAGTGAGTTATTGATCGGACGAAATCCGGCACTGCGGTTGGTTGTCTGTGGCCTCATTTTATGGTGCTACATTTTTTCTGCGCTTGTAGTGGCAGGTGCAAGAGGCATTGCGAGATGCTTATGGCGATGTTGTGCCACAGCACTTGGAGGTTTGCATTTGCATTGGGGCAGAGATTGGGAAACCGGCTGCTTGTCCGGATGGCAACAGGAACGTTGTGTTCACTTCATCTCACGGCTCCGCAGCTTCGCTTGCAGGACTTAGCATGTGAGATCGGCGTCCAGTCCTGAGATTCTGTTTGCCACTGTAACTGTTAGGCTGTATGCCTAGCGAGCATGCGAAAACCCACGAGGTTGGACGTGTGAAGCCGAGATGGTGCAACTCTCAGGAAGTCGGTTCTGCCCTGAAAGCTGTTGTGGCGCTAAGTTCAGATCCGACGTCCAAGATGCCATTGCCACTCCGGATTAAGCTCTGCTCGTTTCTGACAGCCATGTCCCTCCGCTCGAAGCAAGTGATCCAAGAGGACGTTCGCGATGCACGAGAGCGCTTCGTGGCGGCGGCGAACAAGCAGTTGTCCAGACTGGACCTGGAAGAAGACACGATCGTGTTCCAAGTCTTTGGCCTGAAAGGAGATTTCACTGCTTTCCTTTCCGATCCATATCCGATGGAATCCACGGTCGTGTATGGGCCTGATGATTTCGAATTGCATACAAGCGGAGCTGTGCAGGACACAATTTTGGCAGTCATGTCTGAGCTGAAGTCGCACGAACCCAGGGGATCGCGTGAGGATTCATCGGATGAAGAAATGGACTGGATTGTGACTGATCGGCCTCCAGAGCCCGGATTGCAAAGCGACCTAGACTCGGTCCAAAGCTTGTTCGGCGATGGATCAGTTCACATCACACAGCTGTGCCCTCAGACCTATCGTGCGAGTCTACGTGCCAGTGCAATGTGCGATCCTGGACACGCGAGTTTGTGCTGCTTGGGGCTTCAAGCCCGACATACCTATATGCGTCGAACTGTGCTTGCCAGCCAGCGGGTATGCCTTTGGAGCTGTCAAGCCCTACATGCTTACGCAAATCCGGCAAGAAGGCTTTCCCGAATTTGCTTTGGAGAAACAGCTTATGCAGATTTTGACAGAATTCTGCTCGGTCTGCAGCTGCACGGCGTGGGAGAGCTTCGAGTCTGGTGGAGATGACATCCTTGAAGATGCTCCTGACAAGGTGTACCAGCGCTTCAGGTTGAAGAAGCAGAGACTGACTCTTGAAGCGCTCAGAAACAAAGACCTTGGTTTTCTCAGCTGTCTTGGAAGGTATTTGCAGCTGCGCATGCCGACACTACATGAATACTGCGCGATATGCGACTCCCCTTTCACCCTTCCGCCGATGATGATGCGTGCAGTGTGCCCGCGTGAACTATGTACCTATCAGTTTGGGGAGTTCGGCAGCAAGATTACGTCTGCAGAGGGGATGAACAATCATGCTGAAGTGGTGGACTTGCTGGTCTGCATGCTTCTGGCAGCAGTAAAGTCTCCAAGAAGGCATCTTATACTGGACCCATTTCCAAATGTGTCGGTGGGAGAGCAGCTACATGAGGCTGTGTGTTCACACAAAAAGGACTTCGTCCGTGTGGGAGAGGGCCTACGTGCGGTTTTGCACCCCGAGAGCAAGGATTTCAGCAAATTGGAGACCTACGTGCAAGAGCTGCAAACCATTCGTACACGTGTGGGAAATCAACTCGGTGCTTCCTGGTCTGCAAAAACGTCGTCAATGTCTGCAGAGGCCGCGGCCCTTCTGAAGTGGACAGTCGCATCGAACAGATCCTTCTTGGCACCCCTGCAGGAGAGACTTTAGTCGGCCGTTTCCTCAACCTATGAGCTTTGACTCAACTCCGTAAGTCTGAATCTTGGGCTCCCCAGGTATCATCTTCCACATGAGTCTTCTTGGAACAACTTGGGAAACATGCCCATTGAATCGAATGTCAAACATGATATGCCAGTCGTCTTACATGCTCACTAGTGTCGTAGCTTTTTTGGAGCTGCACTGCTGTGCGAGCTGGCAGGACAACGAGCGAATTGAAGCCTTCAGGACGTGTGCGTCCGTTTGCAGGGGCCAGCGAGAGCCGTGTGGTTGGCTTGTCTTCTAATCCACTCTGCAGATTGCAGAGGACGCCATTCCAGTATCTTCTCATCTCAGCACCACCAGACAAGGAAATTCTGGATGATGAATCACTCTCGTGACTTCTTGCTTTTGCAATTCTGTTTGGGTTCTCTTTTTGCGTGGCCAGGAAGCACGATTCCAGGAATTGAAGAAGCAGTTTCGCACTTCCTTCGCTTTTCACGGTTGTGGTCCCAGTTTGGGGTGCACTGGAGACTGAAATGCGCAGGGTCGGGTGCCGTGGGGGGTTTTCTCGAGGCAGTTCCTCCGAGAACTGGCATTCAATCCTGCGGAACGGCCTGAAGATTCTGACCTGCAGGCAGCTTCAGTTGCTTGTGGAGCTGATGGAAACAGAGCAGCTTCAGGTTTCTGCGAAGTGTTTTCTGCATTGTTCAAGTAGCTCTTACTGGCGGGATCATGTAAGGAACGCATCGAACACAAAATTGATGACATGTGGGGCGGCGCACGGTCCCGGCATCTACCTCTCCACTGAGCCTCGGCAGGCTGAAACTAGTTAATCGGTCATCGCGCCGTTTCTGAGATCCGAAGCAGGGATTCGTGGCTCGCATGTACTCTTTCAAGTCTGCACAAATGAAACATAGATTGGGGATCGGGAACAGTGCCGAGGAACCGCTCCTTTTCTTGTGCGTTCGGTCACAACTGACAACCAAAACCAAGGCAAGCTCATGCTCGATGGGCTACACACGGTACTCTTCTGTCGTGAGTGAGGAGGTGGTGGCCTTGAAGCGACAGAAAACCGGTCGCTTGTCGTCACAGGGCTGGAGAGCACTTCCACGCGATGTGATAGTTGCCTGAACTTTATTGGTCTGAGGCAACCGATTCGTTGAGAATCAGGGTGGTCTTGTGATGATGGCCGTCTGCGAGGTGCATGCCAACAGTTTTTGTTGCTCACATTTTACTCGACAGAGAGATATTTATGCAGGTGGTTGAAGATCCAAGCAGGTTGCGGAAGCCAAATTCACAGCGACTTTGCAGCAAGTTGCGTTTTCCATGTAGCAAGTTGTTGTGCCATTCAAGACGTCCTTGGATCCCTAACAATGTGTTGCCGTAGCCTCCTTCGAACTGCAGACAGGACACGTTTCCAAGATCTGATGCAATAATACGTACCGAGTTTTCCGCATACTGTTCGTCATGCATGAGTCCCATTGGATGACGGTTGTGGTTCCTTTACGAACAGTGGAGGTATCGCTCCCTCCATCCATTCCAGAGCACTGGCAGCCTGCATTCTTTCTGTCAGTTCTTCACCGTCGGTTTGTCAGGATTTGGGTCGCGAGCGAGGAGGAGCTGGTCTGCACTCGCTTCTTCCTGGTGTTGAGCGAGGCTGTGGAGCTGATCTGAATGACAGTCGCGGGCACCCGGGGACCCGGGGTTCTTATGGGAGGCGGACCACTTCAACTTAAACGTCAGCACTCTCAAGCTGGACAAGGCCTTGGTAGCTTCCGTTGGGTTTTGCCAAGCCCCATCTGATGCTGAGGAGATCCGGGCGCTTGTGGAGAGAAGCCGGTAAGGGACAGTCGTGGAGCCAGCGCCGAGCAGGCCACAAATGAGCCCGCTGCAAGCGCTGTGAGGCTGTGTGCTTTCAGGTCGCTTGCATCGGAGTCTCACGTTTCGACGTTTCGAGAAGCGCTGTCGTCCTGTACAGACCGCTACGTCAGTGCAGAAAAGATCATGGCCTTCGCCAGCTCTTCTTTGGCATCTTCAAATGGCACCCTCCAAGCTCAGAGACTAGTACGAGTACCAGTGCTATAGTATCTGTAGTAATAGTAATAGTAATTACAATACCTAAAATAAAGTAGTCGTGAGGAAAGCTTTCACAAACCCTGCAAACTAGGCCTGACACAGATCAATCCCTGAGGGGATACTTTCAAAACCGCACAGGTCTTCCGGACGTCCGGAGGCAAGTGCGGAGTTCAGGGTTGTGTTGTCAGGATTCCTCGGCTTGACATCCAAAATCAGGGTGCCTCTGTGGGTAGCCCAAACTTTATTGCGTTTGATTGGCATGTGTTCGCGGCGTGACAGCAAGAACTGTGGTTTTGCAGGCATCCCGAGCCAACCTCGACTTGCTGCCGCCGCAGAGTGCGTCGTCGCCTGCGACGGCCTCCGTTAATTGTTTCGTTCGCAGTTTGAAGGGAAGGGCCAGGGATGTGGTCTCCTGAGGCCATGCCTTCTCCAAGATGTGAGGCGGTCACACCTTTGTTCAGTCCTTTGTTCCGAATCGTGAGTCTGGCTTGACCTGGTGGAAGGGTCCAAGATCCGCAACGTCCGGCACTGTGTCCGCACGGCGGGTTCAAGCCTGAACGGATTCCAGCTCAGGTCTTCGCCCTTCTGCAGGCACCGGATGTGTTTCTGTAGCTTCGGGCTCGATCGGCTGTCCGTGACGGGAGGCCACGGCCTCGACTGCGGCGACCGTCTTCGCCCGGGTCGCCAACACGAAGTCTTTTGGCGGCAGAGCGTAGGCCGGCCGCTCGGCAGCTCGTGACCGTGAACCCTGAGCTGAGGTGTGGGCCAACGACTTTACGACGAAGGGATGTGCCTCATACAAAGGCTGGCAGCGACAGATGGTCGCGAATTGTGCCTACGCTCCGGATACAAGCTTGGTCAAATAATCTTGACGTGAACATCATATCGGTCATTGTTGGTCGATAGAAACATTTCGGCGCGCCTTTGACGCTCTGCATGCCGTCGTCGGACATAGGCGGAAGGATTTTGTGGAGAAGGCTCGGCCCGTGGCAAGTTCAACAACTGCACCAGTGCCACCGGAAGATGCTTCTGCTGCTTGAGGTAGTGGCCTTGGACAAAGAAGGCCTGCAGCGAAAGGCGGGCGAGCTGAAGAAAGCATTGCGCACATTGGGTGCAGTGTCGACTTTGGAGGCCAAAGAGCTGCTTTCGCTGGGAAGCCGCCTGCATGAATCCACGGGTCCGAGCCTTGAAGCGAAGTTCGGTCTGGCGCATGCTCGCATTGTGTCGAGGCAGCTTGGGGCGCCTGGGAGGATGGCGGCTATGCCAGGACTTTCGAGTCACTGTGAGTTTTCGTGAGGCCACCTGTAGAATCCGGGGCGCAGCCCAAGCCGAAAGCCAAAGCAATGATGTGAACATGATTCGCCCTCAAGCACCGAGCGCCATCGAGCGCCCAAGTCTTGATCCGACAAGTGCAAAATGCCGCCGGCCGCAGGCTCTCAGAGAGTGCCCACGCCAGAGCTCGCGACTCGTCTCGACCGCCAGGAGCAGCGCTTGCCTGGCCGCGCTTGCAGAACGCAGGCTACGCAGGCTGCTGCATGGGAGGCTGCCAGGGCAGTTGGAAAGGGCAGTGTGGCCACAGGGGTCTCCACGCCGTCGGCGCCCGAGCCAGACTCCTTCGAGCTCTCGAATCAGCAACGGAAGCTCTGAGGCTTTGGAGGTGCGGAGAGTGCTGCGAAGTTGTCCAGAAGTGCAGTCCAAGGGATGTCCTGCCGCAGGTGACCCAGCTGCCGGCGCTCGCCTTGGCACCCTCGCAGCCAGTCTGCGAAAGGCAAGTCGTCTCGTGGCGAAAGACTTTCTTTTTCAGCTCTGCGGAGAGCTGCAGTCCCTAGGACAGAGGAAGCATGGGCCAGGGCCGCTGGGGCTTCTACGGACCCCGGCAAAGTGTGTCCGAAGCTGAAACTGCGGATGATGGACGGCTCGCGGCTCGCAGGAGGCCTACAACGAGCTGGAAGTCTTGCGGCAAAAGCTCGGTCGAAGCCTCGGTCCTTGGAGCCCAGAAACTCCAAAAGCTCGCCACGCTTCGAAGATGAAGGCCTCCTCTCGCTCGGTGCGGACTTGCTCCGCCGGAAGCTCCAGGAGGCGACGAGTGGAGCAGCGAGTGGGGCAGCGCCTTGGAGCCGTCGAGTGTCGAGTCTCCGAGTCTCCTCTCCTCCAGGCCAAAGAAGCGAAGCAAGGCTTGGAGCCCCTCCGACAAAGTGCTCTGCGAATGCCGAAGCATCGCCTCTGCGTAAGGTCAGCTGCCCGCGGATCATTCTGCTCAGGCGACTTGCAGGATTTTCAAACGTCGTTTCAGTCGAGGGATTCTCGCTAAAGCAAGTCTGCAGCGTTTTCGTCTGTCATTTTCCAAGCTGTTCTGCGGTGCCCTTTGAGACCAGGCTGTGTCGCCGATCAGGCAGGAACAGAGAAGTTGCAAGGGGCAGCTTCGTGGAACACCTGTTGGCCCAGGGTCAGCCACGAACGACGACTCGGCGGAAAGCCCCAAAGCCAGCGAGAGAATGAGAATGCATCGTCTTGATCCGAGCCGGTCAGCATTTAGGCAAGCCGCAAAAGCCGAGAGCAGTGCCGAGGTTGCTGCAATCTCCGCTTGCTGTACAAGTAGCATCCTTGCCTCTGCAGGCTGCACGGGATACGCTGTGGTCGAAGTCTCTTCTCGAGGGTTCTGGCGCGTCCACGTCGCCAGGCTTCGTGCTCGGACGGGCAGCTGTGGAGCCCGATCAGAGGTGACGTTTCCGAAAGAGCGAGTTCTCTTTGCTCTGAGCTTCCTTGGTGGCTTAGGCCCAGAGCCCGAGCTCTCGGAGAATCCTGCAACGTTCCTTGTCGGAAGGCAGCGAAGACCATGTGTGCAACCGTCGCGATAGCTTCGCAAGGATGGTCCATCGCTCGCGAAGCGCAGGGAGCCCACTGCTGACACCATCCCACCAGGCAGGCCGTGAGACAGTGATCGCAGGGCGGAAGCGCTTTTGACCTTGGGTTCCTGCGGCTCTGCAAGCTGAACACATGAAATCTCCGACGAGCCACGAAGACTCAAGCCGAGAGCACTCTGGGATGCGCTCAGAGTCTGAAGGCCCGAGCGGCCCGAGCGGCTTAAGCGATCTGGGCCACCTGAGCGATCTTGAGCACCTTTTGCCGCAGGGCCTCAGGGAAGCCCTGAGGCCGGTGGAGCGGGAAAACGCGCGGCTGCTGGCAGCGCTGGTGCGGAGCCGCCTTTGCGAAGAGCAGCTGCGAAGGCAGAACACAGAGCTTGCAGAGCTCGCCGAGCTAAGAGGACTGCGAGCACTGCGAGCTGAAGCGGAAGGCCTCAGACCCGCGTATACCCCGGACGCCGGAGCCTCTGGAGTCGCTATACCTGAAGGAAGCCTGCAAAGTGTACTTTCTCAGAGAGGAAAGGACAAGGCACTCGCCGAGTTGCAACACTTGGAGATCAACCTGGCAGAAATCGTGGCCTTAACCTTGCTACTAAGGGTGCGCGACAGCACAACTGGTTTCCGCCAAGCATCAGTTGACGCGTTGCGAAATGCTTTGGAGAAGTGCAGCTCAGAGCTGGCATCATATCAGGTTGCTGAAGAGCGCCATTGCCATTCAGATGCAGTGACAGCTTCTCCATGGACTCTTGTCCAAACTGAAAGAGATGAGGCTCAAAGGCTTCGCAGGCAGCAGTCATCGGTCCAAGAGATTGGCCACGGTATGTTGCTGACTCTCAGTGAGCGATGTGTGGCAGAAGAGCAAACATTTGTGCATGAAGCGCTTGGAAAGCTGGAGGCAGAAGAGCAGCTGGTGGTGTGTGAGTCTGACTTGGAGACTGAGGCTGCCTTAGAGAATGATCTGCAAGGCACAGAGCTTCGTGAGCTAGGCATGGTCCAGCAGCGGCTTGAAGAGAGCATCCGATTGACCGGAGACTTGAAGGGTGAGTCGTTGAAGTGGAAGGGCCAAGCCGAGCAATGTGCACGTCTCCAGCGCGAGCTTGCAGACAAAGCTTGGTGCTATTCCAATCAGCTTGAGGAGAATGCCCTTGAGCTGGAGATGGAGATAGAGGTTGCCGAAGCTCAGCAAGGTCACCCCTCCGTCGGAGATGTATTTCATTTGCAGACCCTGGTGAAGCCTCTCGACGGAGCCACTTGGAAGCGTTCTCAAGTCGTCTGCATCCTGTAATCCCAGACCGGACCGGACCCATCCTTTACGTTCTCACTGTGAGGCAAGCAGTGAGGCGGAGGAGCGGCGCCGCCGCGGGGCCTCGGAGCTGAGCTGGGCGCTGAGCGAAGCCTCGGAGCTTCGGCGGATCTTGGGCGAAAGCCGCGCTGAGAAGTCCCTGGCCTCGCGCTCCGAGACCGAAGCCGTTCGGGACTGGAAGCGCTCCCGGAAGCGCAGCTCGGGGTTTCGGGAGGCACTGAAGCAGGAGCTCAGCGCTTTGGCCGATCTGCGAGAGGCTTGCAAGGGCATCCAGGCAGAAGACCGGGAGATGCTCAGCGAGCATCGGGAAATGTGGAAGGAGGAGACCTGGCAGAGAGAAGAGGACCGGAAGGATGGGACTTCCGCGCTTGCTGAGGCAGTTCATTCAGAGGTCGCAGCTGCCAAAGAAGAGTCCGAAGTTGCAAAGAAGCTGCGTGTGGAGCTGCGTGTGGAGCTGCGTGAGATGCGGGCCAGACAGCAGCACTCTCTTCGACACAGGTCGCCCTCTGCAGGCGGTGCTTTGTTTGAATTGGTGGAACTGGAGCACACCGTGCAACAGAGAGTGGCTAAGCGAGACCGACAGCTGCAACAGTTGAGGCTGTCGCTGAAATCTTTGGATGCACCGGATGCGTAGCCTCGTGACTAGGCCCAGGCGACAAGGAGCAGCTCTGTTGCAGCTGGAGAAGGCCAGATAGACGACACGACCCGCTGGATTCTCGAAGCTGCCCGAACCGGCCCCGAGTCCCGCTGTGGTCTGGTTGACGTCGACAGGGATCTCATCTGAATGCCTGCCTGCGGCGTGCTTAGCCGGTTTTTCTTGGCGGTGAAAGAGAGCACAGGGGCTGATCCTCCGGTGCGAGAACGTTGCCGACGCAGGATACTGGATAGTGCAGCTGCGGGTAGCTGTGAGTGGCGGGCGAGGAAGGCTTCAGCCGTCCCTGTGTCGTCATGCTTCGTCACCCTGTGGGTGTACATCAAGCGATCTGGGCGGAGCAAAAGCCTTTTGAGCAGCTCAGCTGTGTTCCTCGGTGCTTGCGAGTTAGACACTCTCATGTCAGGCGCCTATGCTCGGAAGCCCTGCCCACGGTCAAGGTTGGGCAAGATGAGCCACACAGTCGCCACAGAAAGTCAGAGCATTCTAGCGATTTGCGTAGTTTCTGGAAGTGCAAGTTATGAGAGTCGCGTGCCCGGGTGCCTGCAAGTGGCAATGCTCGGCTCTGAATGCTGGAGGAGCCTGGAGGATGGTGAATGCAGCGAACATTGCGAATGTGGGCGCTACCTCGATCTCAACTCCACCAAGCCCTGTGGCTCCGATGATGTCGCCGCCAATGTCTGTCTGCATCACCAATACTATCCAGGCACCGTCGTGCTGATGCTGGAGTGGTCGCAGAGTCTCAGAGCTTTCGCGCGCAGTTTTCATCAGTACTGTGATTCTATATACTACATAGTTGTAATTTTACGCGCTTCACGTCGTCCGCCTCGGCCCGGCTGCGAATAAAGAGGGCCGATGAATTGCTGCTGTTGTCAAGGTGTCACTGGCGGAGTGGAGTGGAGTGGGGAGAGTGCGACACGCTTTGTGCTCAGACTGCCTACAAGACACGAAAACCCATTGGAGGACCGAAGCTTCACCACTTGACCTGGGGGCGGTGAATGGGTCCAGAGGGAGAGCGGGGTTCAGGTGCCAGCTAAAGAAAGGGAGGGTCACGGGGGAGGGGATCAAGAGAAGGGGACCCGAGGGATCCTTGCGTGATCTGACCGCTTCGGCCAGGGCCGAGGCTATAAATCGCAGCATAATATGTAGGGCGACATCCTTTCAACTGCGGCGTAGACTCTTCGTGCAACTCTTGGTGTGGAGGTTGGCCGGGACACTCCTCCGATCACGCAGCGCCTGATAATGCAGCCCAAAGTGGTGCATTCGGTTCGGTTGCATCCCACTGGGTATGAACCAAGCCCCAAAGTGGACAAAGTTGATTCCAGATTCCGTGCTTCTCTTTGACTGCGCTTGACCAGAAGTCCTGGTATTGAGGATATCGCGCGGGCAAGGCCTCAATCAAAACCTCGAATTGAAGCGGGACTTGCGCAGCCTGAACGCTATCGGGCGACCAAGAAGGAAGCCCTTGGCTCTGTCTCCGGCAGAACAAGACGTTCTTGGCCGAGGGCTGTGCTGAGACAGATAGCTGCAAGCATGCAAGCAGAGCTCAGTGTTACTGAATCTGTGGGCGATTCGCCGTAACTTGTTACGGGGCAGTTGGAATCTGCTCTTGCTACGCTTTGGGTCATGCTGCCGTTTCCATCAGCCACTCTTTCAGTTCATTGCTCAGCATGTGTCATGCGGACGTTCTGCACACGACAAGGGTCAGCAACATCTCGACTTTCTTGTTGTCTGTCCGCCTTTCTGCGCTCTGGATTGGGGCACTTCCAAGCATGGTTGAGACGAGTGCTTTCCACTCAGGCTTGACGGTTTGTCATGATGACGCCATGTGCTCCATGATTTTGTTATGTCGTATTTGCTCAGTATCTGTTGAGGCTGCAGCTGCCCAAGCTGAGAAGAAACAGAAGACGGACCAAACGGTCGCAGTCACCAAATGCCTGCTGTTGCAGTATGCCACTTGGAATAGTTGGTGGCAACAAACACAAAGACACGGTTCGACTGCCCGTGTGACACCTCTGTCGCAGCGACGCCGTAGTGCGCACCCTCAGGAGTATGTGGATGGCATTCTTGAGAAGCGAGCTCCACACCGAGCCGGACTTGTGACCTCCAACTATGTGGCACTCCCCAGTTTTATTCTCAGTGCTTCTCCTTGCCGTTGTCCGGGAGGACATTTGGCACACTGGCAGAGACTAGCGGATGCAGATCAGGTGGATTAGTTCTCGGCGTTTACATGGTTTTGCATGGCAGCGTTGCAGGTGTTGCTGGGAGGAGCTTTCGACCCTCCTTCAGGTGCAATGATCGTGCTGCGAGGGCTCCGTGATGGCAAGCCGGTCATCGTTTGCGCTTCTGTCGGGCTATGACTGGGCATGCATGCGCACGCCGTGGCCCGTGCTTGATGCAAGGATCGACCGGGACGAGGTAGAGGCTTTGGTCAAGGATGATCCTTACTTCACGAACGGATTGGTGCTTGGACTGCATTGGAGGCTTTCCCTTTGCAGAACGAGGAGCACCACAGTTTCTGCGGGATTCGTTCCGTTGCGTCCATTGCGTCCGTTGCGTCCGTTGCGTTGTGTTTGGACTCAGAAGGCTCTCGAAGTTTTGGACCTCTTGTAGCGGCCTTTCCAGGTCCCCTCCTACGTCATTCGTGATTGGAACGTCGTGCTGGGATCTGCCCTGCGATGAGCTCTGGCGGCTATAGCGACGTGACGTCATCTGTGCCGATGGAGAAAAGAAACTGCAGAGAAGCACTCGTGCGATGGTTGCGTGCTTGATGGCTGTGATTTCATTGCTTGTCCTGGTTTGTGCACCGCCTTGCGGACTTGCACCAGGGGTGTGGCATGCCATCGCTTCTACCAGCATCAGGAAGGCTCAAGCTTGGCGGTGCAAGGCCCAACCCTCCAGGTCGCGGTCTCAGTCCCAGGCTGTAACTGTGACATACTGTCGCAACGTGGTGCCATGGGTTCGGCGTTTTGCATACGAGGCGATGACGGACCTCAAGATCGGTCACCCGGCTCCCAAGCTGTCCAGGCCCTCAAGATGCTCGGAACGTGGTGGTCTATCGCAGAGTGCATGCACAGAGAGAGGGGGAGGGGCTGAAGCAGGGCACGCACCATGGAGCTGTATGAACGAAACTCTTGGCGACGGTCTCAGAGCTGAGCAGGCACAGGCAGAGAAGAGGAAGGCACACGAGTTTGCATGTGGGCAAGTGGCAAGCGTACTCAGCGAGGCTCACGCGGTCAACTTCGGACACATCGGTCACGATGCGCCTCGATGGACCGCATCCTGCCTCCGACTCAGAGCTAACAAAGCCCATGGCGCTCGGCCCTCGACGATGCTACCGACGCCGAGTTACGGATGGCGCGCATGGCTTCGACACACTTCCAGCAGGCCGCCATTTGTTTGCTGTGCCAGGCGTGAGAAGGTAGCAAGCTTTCGGTGTTGTCGCGACGCACACCTTGCACGACATCAGTTTGGAGGCTCAAGCTTTGAGAGGTCATCATGTGTCTCGGAGCATCTGACATGGCGATGGATGACACGTTGCCTTTGCCTCGCCTGCTGAAAGATTCGCAGTCTTGCATGTCTTGCCTGGCCGACCGGAAGCAGGGCTTGCAGTGCAGACGAGCTCAGTTCAGAACAGGAGCATTGGCCTTGAGTTTGAAGTGCGAACATTTGCCAGAAAACCGCGTCGTGGTCGTGGATCTGATGGAATTGAAGGTCCCTGATCCTGACAGTCAGAGGCATCTGACCGAGTACAAACTCCACATGCAAAGCGGACCTTAGAGGCAACGTCAAAACGTCAAAGCAGAGAGCGCCACCAAAAATCTGCGATACTGGTAGCTTCAGCTCGGACAGAGATCCGCAGCTCAAGAATTCGGACATCGTGTCTTCCAATTTCGATCTTTGCAGGAGAAGCGGCTGAGCACTTCCAACCGAGTTCCAACCGAGTTCCAACCGAGAAGTGGCCAGGCACAGACCCACAACAGGGCTTTTCCCTCCAGCAACCGGGCTGCAAACAGCAGTTTTGCAAACTCCGGCTGAGAGTCATGCGAAGCATGTACTTCGGCGCAGCTGTGTCCAGCAAGTCGCAGATGAAATGGCGAGATTGAGGTATGTTTTCATGCAGATAAACAGACTTTCGTAGCAGTGGCAATAAGCTACCTCCTCTCAGTCCGAAAGACTGTCCTGTCCGTACCTCTGCCAGCTTAGTAGTGAATTTGCTGTCACTTCTCACTTCGCTTCCCCGCCGTGTCCGATTTCATCCTGTTGCGGTCGATATCCTGTGGCAGGGCAGGGCTACTGAAGAGACTCCAGACCAGCGCAGCAGCCTTGGCGCAGGATGTGGCATACCAGTGTGGGCTGGAAAGACTCGCCAGAGATGCGCAACTGAGGCTGGTTCAAGACCACTGCCACCTCCTTCGCAAAGTATGGCATCTACCCGGGCCAGGGCTTGAAGGTGCCGGCTGAGTCTTACATGTCGGCTGCTAGCAGTAGCACATGAAGTGACGCTTGCAAACCAGCACTTCTGCTTCCCTGTTCCAGGGGATGTACATGCGTGATCCTCATACAGGCGTGTGGTTTAAGGTGCGCTGCAGCAAGGGAAGCCTGCCCACTCAGCTGCCAGAGCTCGGTGGATGCAGCGACAGGACACTCCCGAACGACTGTGGCACAAAGAGGTTGAAAAGCCGCAGCCTAGCTCCGCTTCTCGACGAGTTGAGAGGTCAGGGTGGTAGGAATGGTGCGCGCGGATTTTGCACGTTTGGGTTCAGAGAATCCCAAAGCCATCGGTGTCTTGGAGTCAGCGAATCCTACAAGCTGTGCGGCTGTGCGGCGCGACTCTTGCCGTGGCTTCCGTCTCTAGACTGGCGGGCTGCCGTCGCTTCCATGGTGGGGCTCGGGGAAGGACGCAACCGTTACTGCCATTGCTTCTTGTTTCGCTCTCATCTCCCAGTATGGTTTTTGGGTGGCGCTGGGCTGTGGTGCAGTCTTGACGGTTGCTATCGCAAACTCCTTTGGCGCTTCAATTGGCCAATGCATGCCATGGTTCGTATTTGGGATTGTGAATCGCGGGGTGATGCTGTAGCCTTCGGTTGGACTGGTGGGCTGCTGCAGTTTTTTCCGTGATCCTGCATGCGTGGTTCTGGGTTCCCAATATCGAGCAGGCAGCGTGCCGGTCTTGACGCCCAGTTCGGCACGATCTCTCTCCGAGGTGTCAAAATCCAACAAAGATTTCGTGCCGCTCTACGCGCTCCATGTCCATCTGCATTGCAAGCCATGACGATAGAGGCCCGGTGCCGGTTCCTCCGGGAGTGGATGAAACAAACGCTTCTTGCGCCCAGGCCAAACCTTCTCTGATGGGTTGTTTCACTTAAGGGGGGAGGTTCCTTTAAGCGGATCCATCCCCCTTGTAACAACAGGCAATCTTTCCGAGCCTGAAAGAGACCAGACGAGTTCCAGCTGTTTGATGAGGTTTTGTCCCAGTGAAGCTCACAGTTTGAATATCTGTGTGTGTTCGTGTTCCCGAGATTGATAAACGGCTGTTTACGTCGCCATGCGGCAGAGCCGCAGTGGCCTCACAGCTCGCAACCTGCCCCATTTGGGCATCATTTTGATGGCAGTCGCACAAATGCGGAAGGTTCCCAGAACTGGCAACCAGTCTTTACAGAGCCGGGCTAGCACCGTGGTAGAAGCCAGCGGCGGTCGAAGGCTCCAGTTTCTCTTCGGCAAGCACATGCTCCAGCTCTTTAGATTTGAAGCCAACGCAGTTTGCCCTAAAGGGGGAAGCTGTAGCCCCACAGGTTCTCGAATGCAGCGCTTGCTGCGCCTGGAACCGAAGACGAAGACCAAAGACTACAAAGCTACAAGCGAAAGTTTGAAGTGAACACCTCGGGCATCACTGAAGTCTTCTCCCGCAGCCATTTTACACGACCTTGTCGAAGCTCAATCCGAGAAAGTACTACCGCAAATCACGCCTTCTGGAGCATTATCCACGAGGCTTGGCTTGAGTCTTGACAGATTTTGAGTGCTCGGATTGCCTTGCCTATGAGAGGCTGCAAGCATGCCATGCCGATTAGTGTTGCTGGCTCTGTGTTCAATGTTGGTGGTGGCCTCATGAAGTCAAACCTGCAGTGCCTGAGCCTCTGTTTCGCCGAGGTCGAGGGTCTTCAAGGTGAAGGCAGGATACTCAGATACGCGCCGTAGCTGCAGCTCAAATGATTCTGCCTTCGGCAACGAGGCTACACTGATGCATCGGAGATTCTTCTGGTCGGGGTGCCAGTCAGTAGCGCTGGAGGGTCGTGTTGCTCTTAAAATGTCTCTGAGGAGATGGAGCGTGCTCAGACCTTCGGCTCGGAATACTTGAAGCAGAAGCTCGAGACCTCAGAGGAGTTTTGCTGAGTCTGGCCACGCTCATCTGCACAGAACACAAGGCAAAGCGAGGCCTTTGTTGCAACGAAGGCTGCAAGCCTGTTGCAGGCGCTCGGAACCCGCCTTCGCAGATTTGTGGTGTTGGGAGCTTCTCAGACTCTACCTGCTACAGGTCAACAAAGGCCCTTCAGCAAGCCACGGGCAAGCCGGTGAGGCTGGGCTGCTTGGACATTTCTGGACGAGACTGATTGTGCCTCGCATTGCAGGCTCGGCACAACCGCTTCAACCCTTTCAAGCCAGCCATGGACTAAGTTGCAACGGCAAGGTTCGGGTCGTGTGGATGCCTAAGACCAAGGATCCAGCCCTTATGCGATCGACAAGTCCAGAGCTGATCGAAGATGAGGACGACTGAAAATAGGGCTGGCCGGACAGCATGCGTTTTGCGCTGTGGCGACGAATCTTCAGGGCGAGGAAGATCTGCCGTAGGATATGTTGGGACAGCCTTTTTGAAGATCTGTGCAGAGCCGCAGTGCAAGCTCGCAGTGTGATGTGTAGCTCAGCGGTTCGAAGTCAAAGCCAACTTCAGTGGACGGAGTGGAAAAGTGGCAATGCCGTGGGCTGGTCAAGTTCCACCGGCTGTCCGTGAGTCACCAACTCGCCAATGTGCCCCGCCACAGAGCGCGGAGATGTTCCAAGACAGGATGCGTGGATGGAGACTTCCCTCTGCGAACTTGCACGGCTCGCCCTCGCCTGCCTAGGCATACACCCGGAACATGTTTAGAGTAGGAGTACTTCCCTCTCAAATCCGTCTTGAAAGCACGACATGTGAGCTGAGGTCTGACCCATTCGCACACAGCAGGCCATACTGTAAGCTTCGCGGTACATCGAGGAAAAGACGCTTGAAGCACGGTGCGCCGTCCGTTCAAGTTCGGGGCAGTCGGGAGAAAGGTGATCTGGTACCTCCATGAGGAACATGAGGCCTTTGAGACTTCAAGCCAACCTGACGGACGGGGCACGAGCATGAACGGTAAACCTCCGCGACGAAAGCTACAAGAGTGCACTTTGCCTGCTATGCCTGCTGTGCCCTCTGGTGCCAATGGCCTGAGGACTTCCGAGGCTGCGCGCTTGCACTCATGCGAACTCACCGAAATGGAGCCGGCTAGCACCAACCTCTACAGCTAGCACAACGCGCGGGTATGTTTGAAGGCCTCCCAAATCGTCGTTGCATGTCGTTGCCACGTAGACGCATTGACCTCCGCTGCACAGCCGTTTCAGGCTTCTGTGCCACAATGCGTCTGTCGGTCAGGGCAGGGCAGAGGTCGGGCGTGGGACGCAACATCCGAAGGAATCGCCACAAGCCGTGGACCAGATAAAGCGGAGGAAGGCCTCTCTCCGGCCTTCGTAGGGCGCTCCCCCGAGTTCACGCACGAGCGGCTTTGCTGCTTCGGGGTAAGACGCTCACGCAAAACGGGTGGAGGCGGTACCCATTCTGCTGCTGAGATCGGCGGCAAGACGGCGACCTCACCGCGGGCTGCAACCCAACTGTCGTTGTCGCCGGGGGCTTGTCCGCCCAGAAATGGAGAACGTTCGACCACTGTCCAAGCCGCTGTAACAATCCAAGTTGCATGCTTGTGTGATCCTTAGTGCCTCACATATGTACAACAAAGACGTGAACCGTGGAAGTCAGAGCCGGGCAGTGTTTCGAGACCAGACCTTCGGGGGTGGAAAAAATGGAAGGCGTTACCTTTCAGCTGTCAAGGCAGGGAAGCGGACGAATGGGTGTGTAACCGTGTAGCATCGGAAAACCAACCCGCAACGACTGTCTCAGCTTAGGCTTGTCAGCGACAGTTGTAATGGTGTTGCGTATACGAAATTTGAATACTCCCGTACCCCCTGGTCGCTCCAAGGCATTTGGATGGAATGATTTTGACGATGGCATCGGAGCGATACGGTTTGCTCGGAAATGGCAGCTGTACGTGCTGCTTGCCTTGGTGTTGCAGCGGGGTGCCTTTTGCCTGTCTGCTGATGACTTGGTGATCTTTCAGAGTTGCAAAGTGTTCTCGCTGCCGTAGGCGTCTGGGTTTGCAGTGGCGGTTCTCTTTTGGCATCGGCCCTGATAAAACCGTGGTTCTTAGCACTACGCCGCAGAACGGGGGCGCGAGCAGCAGGAGGCCGAGGGTTGGCAGTGGCTCGGTTTTGTTCTGCTGGCTTTTTCGGAGGCGTTGCAGTAATTTTTGGCGGCCAACACTCAAGAAGTTTTGCCTTGGCAACAAGTATCAACAAGCTTCGGCTGCCGACGGGAGAATGTACAGGCGCACAGTACCCCGCTTCAAGGTGCTCCAAACAAGGTTTTGTTTGAAAATCCTACAGGACTGTCGGCGCGGAACTTAAACAAGCGGCAAAACGCAAACGCCTGCGCACTCGCCCGGAGTTTGTAGTCGCTCACCGTTGCAAACTGGTTGTGCTTGGCCTTGAGGTTGTCGGCAGGTTTAGCCGAGAGGCTGCTGCCTTCCTGCGACAGTTGGCCGAAACTCGCGCAAGCGAATCGCCAGCACGGTTGCGCCCGGCTGTGCAACATGCCGCCTTGCAGCGTCGGAGGTGCATGCTGGCTGTGGCGGCACAGCCCCTGCTGGAGTTGCCGCTAGCGGATGCTTGTGACGCCATTTAATTGACGCCGACGCCGTGCCCGTAAGCCGCCTTCCCGCCGCGTCTGGCTCGGTAGCTAGGTCTAGGCTTTACGTAACTGCCTACGCAGGTGGCAGCGCACTGCTGCCCCTGCATGTGATGAACGCACGCTGTTAAATTTGAGCCTTCAGCTAGCAGTGCGTCTTGACCTCTCAGCGCTTCCTTCGTGGCCTTTCCTCTCGAGGCAGGGCCCCCTTGAGCTTCTTTTCACGTGCACCGCTTCCGCGGAAAACATGTGCGCATAGCTGCTTGTGACTTGCACGTCTCGCAAGTGCTAAGTCGAGTTGGCACCGGAGCCGACTGCACATGCCGCGGGTTCCAGAGCTCTTCGAGATGTTTGGGCAGACGACGGATCAGGAAGACAGCCTCTCCGCTCAGTCGCTCCCCGACCTCGAGAACTTGGAGTCCGTGTCGCAGGTGCAGAGACCAGGGACCTCGGCAGAGCCCAGCGGTGACGGCCCTTGGAGATGTTCGGCCTGTGACGGCCGTCGTTTGACCAGGGACCCAGCTGGCTTTTGGAGTTGTGAGGAGTGCGGATCCACTCTCTACTACCATGTTGAGCAGCCGGCTTTGAGGCGCGCGGCACATGGCCGCGGAATGTGGCACTATGTTCCAGGCGACCCACCGGCACCACCGAATGGCGAGTGGAGCCCTCCTTCTCCTCCAGGCTTTCCAGGACCTTCGGGCTCTCCAGTGGCAGGCTTGACCACGCCTTCTACAGGCGCCCGCCGGAGGAGGCGACGACGGAGAGGAGCTGGACCACCAGGAGGCGGCGACGAGACAGCGGAGGGGTCAGAGCAGCCTGAGTCCGAGGCCTTGACCTTGGACCCCGTGATCTCCGTGACCCCGGCGCACTCGGTGCCGTCCCGGCGAGCTACCAGGCATGATCCTCGGTCGCCGGTCGCTCCTCGACCCCGTGGTCCTCCCGGCCTACCACGTGCACCACGACAGCCCGGAGGAAGCGATCCACCGCGCCTTCCGGGAGACGACCCTGCCGAAGATCATCCAGCACACCTTCTCGACTTCGAGGCCGCTGCCAAGACCCCGGGAAAGAGCGACAAGGCCTCGAACGCTTCGAGTTGGAACTCTCGCATGGGACCGGAAAGGAAAGTGAGGTGGAGAGGCGGAACCCCGCCATCACCGCCTGCCTGGCGGTACGATCCTTCAGACCTTCGCGCCTATAGCAAGTGGGCCAGGAAGGTGCAGATTTGGCAGGTGCAGATCGCGAATTACATGACGAAGCGCGAGGCGGCTCTCCTGCTCTACACCTCCCTGACCGGAGAAGCGGAGGCCGAAATGGAACACGTTCCTATCGAGAAGATAAACTGCGAGAACGGAGTCGACTACATCTTGGAATCGCTCAAGGAGCCCATGGCCCAGAAGACGGTGTATCAGAAGCGGAAGTTCCTCGCCGACTACGAGAATGTGAGCCGCTACCCCTCCGAAGGCCTGAGGACTTATGCTAACCGCTACCGGAGGATAGAGCGTTCTCTCGAGGCACTTGGGGTCCAGATCACCGGGATGTATGACGACGAGAGCCGTGGCAACCGCCTTCTCGAAAGGGCCCGGCTGAGCCCGGCCGACCAAAGGCTGGTGCTTGTGGGTGCCAGGTACTCCCTCTCCTTCGAGGACGTCATGGAGTCGATGACCATGCAGTATCCAGACTTCAGGGCACCGCCGGCCGTTGTGGGAAGAGACGGCCAGCCAATCAGCCGAGGCAAGGATGGCAAGGACGGCAAGGGTTCCAAGAACGGCGGCCCAGGACACCACGCTCCTTCTGGGCCCCGGCAACAGTTTCCCAGCCAGGGCAAGGGCGGCAACGGCCAAGGCAAAGGAGGCTACCCTCCCATCACGGAGACCGGCGAGGAGATCGAGGCCACACCCGGCGACGACGGGCACGCCGACGGTGGCTTTGAAGCCATCCCTGAGGGCGACAACGAAGACCAGGAGCAGGAGGACCAGGCAGCCGACCAAAACGACGACGAGAATGATGACGCAGCCGAGCTTGAGAACTTGGCCCAGGTCCTCACGGTTACTGCCAGGAGGCTGGCAAGCACCCGTCTTGGACGAAAGTACAGTGGAGCCAAAGCGTCGCCGGCCGAGCTGAAAAAACGCACCACATGTTCGGTTTGCGGCGAAGTGGGCCATTGGAAAGGGGATCCAGAGTGCAAGGTGAGCGGGGGAAAGGGAGCATCCGGCAAGCAGTTTCCCGACAAAGGCGCCGCGAGCGCCGCCCAGCACATCCCCGGCAAAGGCAGCCAGAAGCCCGGCAAAGGGCAAGCACATCAAGCACTGACCGTGACACACAGTGACCTGGGAAGCTATGAGGTCTACTCCACCGAGTACGGCCAGGCTTTCCAGGATCCCACCTACCAGGTCAGCGTTGTGTTTTCTGCGCAGATGGTTCCAGCACTTGGGTCACAATACGTGGGCTACATGGTCCTAGACACCGCTTGCCAGCGCACTTGCTGTGGCAGGAGCTGGGCGAGCGACCACTTCGATCACATCAAGGACACCGGGCTCACCGTCGGCCAGGCCCTCGTGCGTGATAAGTTTCAGTTCGGGAAGGGTGCGCCTGTGGAAGCCGACTATCGTGCCTACCTCCCGGTAGCCTTCGGGAACCACGGGCCATTGCTGATTGGGACAGGCGTCGTGGACGCCAACATTCCCCTCCTCGCGAGCAACGTGCTGCTCAAGGCCCTGGGGATGATACTCAACCTTAACGAC